ATCGTTAATCTTTTCAATAAAGGGAACCAAAGGCATTTTTATTCATGCATTGGTGTGAATCCTGGCAGCATGTTCACATGTGTTCTCATCCCTCCATTACTGTGCTTTTGTGCCAAGTTCTTTATAGTTACCACATTAGATCTTCAGAAATACTTTGCTGAGTCAGTCTTTCCTTTTTGGTATTTTTTTTCCCCCCTCTTATTTTCTGCATCTGACTAAAAGGGTTTGATTCATTTCAGGTACTTCCCCACCACCACCACCCCCCACCTTTAACCATATTTCTGTGGAAATAAGTAAGATTTTCAGATATACCAAGTGCAGTTCTAGCTATCTTTCAATCAGAAGATGGTAGAAAACTTGCATCTATGTTGCTTGGAGCTGAGTTAGGCTGAGGAAGTTTTGAGAATACCACTCTTGGTGCCTGTCTCAAAATATGTTTTTAAAATAACTAATGAGTAAATCAAGAATGAAATTTGCAAGTCAAAAACTGCATGATCTTGGCAAGTGTGGTTTAATTTGTTAGATTTACGGTTGCCAAGTAGAAAACAATATCCTTCCTTAGATTAAATAAAATTGTTTTCAACACAAGCAGCAATGAATTAATTGCAGTTTATTTTACTACAAGGCCTGTACTATGGCTTATTTGCCAGATTGAACTTTTTGCATCTGTTTTGACCTAAAATAACCAATTCTGAAGTATTTAGTCACGGTTTAGAGATTGTGAGCTTTAAACTGGGTCTCTTCACTATGATTAGTTAGTGTCTCACTGCAGCTCTGAAGTTTGCAAGCCTTTAAATATTCTACTTAGCTGGGAAACTTAAACACTTATTGGCAAAGATGATACAAAATACAGTTAATTTTCTGGCCTTAGTTGAAGCGTCTAGACCTAGCTTCTCCTCATCTTTATTTATTGTATGCTCCTTACAGTCAAGCTCCTCAATAATGGTAAACAGGCTCTGCTAGGTTTCCAACTGCTGTTCCAGCTTGTACAGTTTGTATCAGGTAAGTCCAGGGTGACTGACAAGTCAAGAAAAAATCTTGTCAATCCTTTACTTCAGGCCTTCAAAGACCTAAGATTTTCTCCTTGCTCTTCTTACTGCAGCCAGTGATGAGTTGAGGGTATGAAGTTGCATTTGAAGTTAGTCTTAACTGCTGGTTACTGTGAGAGGTGGAGGCTGGCTTTCCACCTGCCTTTGGCCGTGTGCTCCTTCCTCTTCCCTTGTATTGCAGTGATGCAGCTAAGGCAAGGTTTAGACAAGCTCACTGATCAATAAAGAAGTTTTGTACTTACTGAGTTAGTTTTCCACCAAATCATCTCACTATGGCTGCCCTGCAGCTGTGTGATTGCTAGATCCAGCAAAAGGAAGCATGTGGGTGCAAGAGAACGGGGATTGTCCCAAACAGCACCATCCCACCATTATATGCATTTAATACGCTAAGATAAAAGAATAACTTGAGTATCTCTAGATTCCTTCCAATCAGATTAGGTCTACAGATATTTTTCTTGACTGCATATAGTTTTGCTTGTCTGAACTTCTAACTTCGAGACTTTTTGTCTGGTCCCCATGGAAGGAACATGTACTTAGCTTTTTAAAAATCAGTTGATGCAAACAAAGTAAGCTTAGACTTTCTGATAAAGCATTTTTCATAACATTTCTCACTATGAAAACTTAAAACTTTTTTTTTGTAACCCAGCTTTGGTATACATATGAATGCACTTACTGCTAAATCTGAATATAATGTATAAAAATAGCTTCAGTACACAAAGTAGCATGTTAAATATGTAGAAGGAAATACAGAAAATCCTCTTGTGCGTATACAGAGTAACTTAGGTAGGTCTATACTTTTTTTTAGTATGTCCTAAAATACCTTATTTCAGACAGTGGTCCAAAAATCCCTCCTGTTTTACCCTACCTGTTACATATGTTTCATATGCCTTTATCTGTACTCCACAGTGCTTTCCACCTTTCTAGAACTTAATACCTCATTTTATTTTTATTTTTTCCCCATTGGCATCTTTTTTGCTGTCTGAACATGCCTGTGAATTGGCTTAATGGTATCATTCTTCCTGAGTTTACAACACTACTATTTTCAAACTAAGAATCTCAAATACTTTATGCTAAGATGCTGACTTTAAATGCTACCAGTGTGAAAAATGTTATCTTCCATCTTCTAAATGGAAGAGGAGGGAATAGTATTGCTATTGTATCCTTATCTAAAGGAGATGAGAAAGAGAACTGCTTTGGAGAAGATGTGTTTTAAAACTTTCAGAAACTGGTTAATGATCATGATACAACTTCTAAATAAGCTGCCTTCAAAATAAAAAAACTACAGTTCATGACTTGACATTTTTGAAAATGCTAACATGGTAAATCATGGTCTTTCAAAACTTCTTGTACTGTACATTAAAGGAAGTCTTCATCATGTTTTACATGTATTGGCAACAAAAGGTGCTTTGATAGAGGTTTAGATGTTACAGTTCAGTTTTGGAAATTCTTAGGTGTGTCCCCTTCAGGAGTAACATTATAGTTAATTGGTCAGCAATTAATGCTATGTAATTAATGGTTCCAAAATACTAAATTTTAAAAATCTTTGAGGCAATATATAACTTAGTTTTTTATCCACATCCATTTAGAAAGTATCTTTCAAAAATATGCTTCCTAGAATGATTTCGAAATATTTAAATTCAAATCATTACACTTTGATGCGGTTCCAATAGTACTTGCAACATTTGGTCTTAAAATATCTGCTTATGTTGTGGTTGCTGTTCTGATGAACTTGCCTTTCAGTATGTAACATTAATTGCAGTACAGTAACTGGCTGCCCATGACCGGAACTGATGTATATAAATGGAATAATATCATTAGAACCTTTAATGTTTTTGTTATAAAATTGCAGAGGTATTCTTGTAGGTAAGTGGTGTCCATAACATATATAAAATATGTGCTACAGTTAACAATACACCATCTTTTAAGATAGACCTCTGTTCCTTAAAATATGCAAGAATCTGTTAGTTCATTTCATTTAAGTGTTGATTGTCTTAAGAAATATGGTGTCCTAAATGAGGTTTATTTTTTTTCCCCTCTAGTGACTTTAATAACAAAAATAAAGAGGTGCTCTTGCATTTTCAAGAAAGCAAAGCTTCCGGAAATTCTTTGTGTAGGATCAAGGGATTGAAGGGTCAAATTTAGATGTTTGACAATTTAAAAAAAAAAAAAAAAGAGAGAGAGAAAATTCCATTAATCACACACACACCCTCCTTGCCCTTGCCCCTGCCCCAAATGAAAATTCCTCCTTTGAAAGGAGGCTGGAGACTATCAAGGGCCATCCTTTCAGAATAGCCGCCCTCTCTCTCTGCTTACAGTAGGACTGAGGCCACAAGGCTGCCGTACTAAAGGCAGTTTCTGTCCGTGTTTGCTTGTTCTTAATTTGCATCTATGTAGCATGGGCAAGTAGGGGGAGCATTATAGCGGAAACCTGTTGGCGATGCAATCTCTATGTGCACAATATATGGAGTTTAGGGTGGTATTTTAGACTAACTCGAGTATCACCCTGTGGATTGAATTCCAGGTACCTCCTGGAGCACATTAGGTATACTCATGGAGTGCATCTTTTAGTTTTGTTTCATCTTAAAAGAATCCAGCTGATGGACTCGGGTTGCTCTGCCACGCAAACCAAAGCAAGATAAGCTGGGACAATTGGGAGACTGGTTTCAAAACTGTATTTGTGTTTTGAACTAAAACGTATTGTTACTCGCTTTTTTCAAAGCACTGAGCATCACTGTTTTCAAGGGTAGCTTAGCTTCACTTCATTCTACTGAGAATCAGCAGGAAGCAGTAGGAGGTTTTTTAGAAGCCTTAATTTTATCTAAAGCAACAGGAACTGATGGCTATTTGATAGAGTGGATTTTACATATGTTAACAGATTAAAAATTTGAAAGGAAAATAGTATTTTTAAATAATTGTTTTATATATGCTGTATGCATATATACAGGAATACTACCTTAAAAAAAAAAAAAAAAAAGAAAAGGAAAAAGAAACACTGGTCTGTGCCGGTTGTACTGAACACAGAAGAAGAGGGAAGGAAGGCTGTTTGAGAGAGGGGAAGTAGAAGAAAGGCCTATCTACACTCCATTCACTGTTCATATTTCCAGAGTGGTATAGTGTAGTCAGGCTATGCTGGTAAATCTCTCCCTTTGTGAAAAAGAAATTATAATAAAACAACAAATTAATGCTGATACTACACATTTCCACATCCATTAGTAATACCATGTGGAAACAAGAATTGGGGCTTTTGGCATTTTAGGACAGGAAGAAAAATAGCATCTTAAAAAAAAAAAAGCAAACTTCCCTCCATTTTCATGTTGTTTTGAGCAAAAGCATCACAATGCTTCTGTGTAATGGTTAATGCAGTGTGTTGCTACAAGTTACTCTTAAATTGTGTGTTTTGAGAGTGCATTTTTATAGATGAAAACAACTGGTGGGGGAGTGTTTAGCACTTGATTTTGGGGTCATCCAAATTCCCCATGACTCTCTGGCCTTTAATTATTGGTAATTCCTTTTTGGTGAGATCAGTGTAAAAACTTTGCCTTACAAAGCAAAAGTATTTTGTGCTTAAATGATACTTACTTTTCAAAATACTAAATTGAATTGACACTTGTGCTACAAGATAGCTAATTGGGATTATTCTCTCCACATTATTTTTTTTCCTTGAGCATTAGTGTCTTGTTCAAGAAGATACAGGAAGTCTTTGTTAAAGTAATGGTTAAAATTCTGCAGTGTCTGGCTCGAAGCCCTGTCTTCCACTAGACTCTGCTGCCATGAAGCATGTTTGTATTTTTTATGTCTAACAAGAGAAATAACACTTTATTTTAAATTTTAAAAATGTTTAAAAGTGTCACTTTGATGTGATGTACTATTAAAATTAAAAGTGGTCACTTTGATGTGATGTATTCCCACCTATTAAAATGTTCTGCATTTTAACTAGACACTTTATTCCAGCAATCCATCAAAAACTGGAAGCGGATGGAACGGAAAAAGTAGAAGGATCCATGACGCAAAAACTGGAGAATGTACTGAACAGTAAGTTTTGTCCTTCCAGCAGCAACTATTTATGGACTTTGGACTTTCTAACAACCTTTAATATATTGCTAGGAATATGGTAGAAAGTAGAAAACAGGAGAGTCTCTCTTGCCTTTTCCTGTTTGATGGTAGTGATTTTAAGGGTGTGATAGTACACCTTTTGAAATAAGTGGCAGCTTTTGCCATGACTTTCAGTGGTGTTTGTGATAACAAAGAGAATAAATGTCAAGATAAAGGAGTTCTAAAGCACTTTAAATGAATTCTGGTGGCATCTCAATTTTAAGTGTACAAAGAAAACAGGAGCTCTATGGATAGAACTGTAGAAGGATGAACAAAGCTAAATAAGATTGTAAGAATTTTGCACAAAAGAGGAAAAAACCAAATACAAACTGTTTGTAATAACAAGGTCTATTAACAGAATCTTTTTCACTTAATGTGCTGCCATTTAGACTACTTGGAATTAGCATTCTTTTTAGAAACTTTGAAAAGCTGTCAGTACTTTGTGTTTCTCTGTATTAGCTGTAGGGTTGCATTGAGAGATGGCTTGAATTTACTGCAGTTTGGTATGTGTTTCATCAGATCAAAAAAGTTACTTTTTTAATTCTGGGACTTCTGCCAAGATAATTTTACTTTGTTTCATTGTGATTTTTTTCGCAGAGGAAGGGATGTTTCCCTTAGTGCTGTATCAATAAGCAGGAATGACATGCAGATAGCTGACTCAGTGTTAGAAAGTCGGAGTGTGTTTTATGAAATCAAGAAAGTGACATGGAAGTTCACTGTTTTTCTTCTCTTGTATGAAGAAAGCAGTGACTGTATGTGTGTGTGTGTGGGGAGCACAAAGAAAGCAGGGGGTTTTGTGAACAGCTCTAGCTCCTTTCAGTAGAGATTCGTTAATGCTCACAATAAAGGTGTAGTTTGAACATTGTTATTTCCCCATCTTGTTGCCTGGAATGCAAAAAAAACCCCCAAAACAAAAATCACCAAAAAAACCCCAACCAAAAAAGCCCACAAAAAACCTCAGACACACTATATAAAGACTATAATGTGTGTCTATGTGTGCAGAATATTTGTTACATATAGGGTAGGAGAAAAAAGCGTTTGCTGAAATTTGCCGGTGCAATCCTCCATGCTCTGTATTTATGCCATGTCATGCACCAAGCACAGATTCCTTGGAGAACACTTTCCTTTTGACAAAATTGTGTGACAGATTTTAAATAAAAAAGTAAAAATTTCGGCCTGTGACATTTTCCTACACGCACTAATATGAGACAAATCGACCTATAATATATAATTTCTGTCTCATTTGATAAATGGTGGCTGAAATCTGTATGCAGATAATGCAGACTGTCTTTTTCAAGCTGGATCTGTAGAGGAACTTGTGCCAGGCACTTCAGAGTGGTATTAAGTTTGGCTCTGCTGTGAAAAGAATTGGCTGCTTTTCCTCCCGATGCTTTGCAAGTCATGATGGGTGGGAGGCAGGGGAGTAGGAATACAAGGATTTTAAAAGAGTAAATAATATTATGCAAAGTAGTTTAGGATCAAAGCTTTGTTTCTTGTCTGACCATTGAAAAGCTTCCATAATCCATGAGTAACAGGGCCTGCTTTCAAAAATGACTTCAAATCTTTAGTCGAATTTTACATTTTATGGATTGTAGGTGCATATTTTGAGAGACAATTGGTGTTGTGAGCTTGATTACAAACTCCTAAGAATAAAGGTGTTTTCTGCAGCATCTGAATGTATGTTAAGAGTGTGCCAAATTATTGGATTGAAATGGCATGGGATAGTAGAAGCACAATCTGGTGTTATAGGTGGAATTATAAATGTTTGGAGTTTTTGCTAAATTTAATTGCTAAACAAGCTATTGAATACATATTTATAAAAATATATGGTGTGCTATAATGAATTTCACGAAGAATTGTATCTTAGCGGAGGTCAATCAAATTTCATTAGGTGGTGTTTTTGTCCGGCTCTATGAAAGACAGCTGTTGGATAACTAGAGCTTTATTTTGAAGTAAAAAATTTGCACACAGTAGATGAATCATCTATTTTGAAAACACAGTTAGTCAATATAGGACCTGAATCTTTATCCGTGGACTTTATTATTTAGGTTTAGATTATTCATCGGTAATCAAGAGATAAAGACTGTTAATGTAGAAAGGATTTGGAGGGGTGAGGAGGGAAGACATTTTACAGTCTTTTTTGTAAGTCTAAAAAGAGACCTGTTTTGCATGAAGTATTGAATTTCATTAAGACACTAATTAGTAATTTGATATATTTCAATTTCTATGTAAAACAGAAAAAGTGACCATAGAAAAAAGTAAAATTATTTACTTGAATTGGGGATTTCTACAGCAAATTAATTCATAAAGAGATGAAGGCATGTAGTTTTAAACTGAACATGGAAATCACTGTGCTATTCCTGCAGTTGTCAATTACCTTTTGTAATTTATTTGTAATAAATTAAAATGTTTTTAATTTGTATTGTATTAAAAAGAATGTTTTGTGAATATAATTTTAAATCCCAGATATGGTACATTGCTTCTTGGCTGTTAAAAGAATGGACAAGAAACATATGAATTCCAACAAAACAAATGTTACTTACTAGAAGGATTTACAAAACAAGAATTTATTGTAACCTCAAGAGAAAAATCATACTTTATCAGTGGTCTGTATTTAAATGTCCAGCTAGCTGTTTTCATTGTGTATTTCTCCTTAATGGATTAAAGTATTCTATGCTAAATAATATGCAGTAGAAATAGCTATCCTGACAAAACTTTTTTTACATCCAGGCTTCAAAATTTCAACAAAGTTTAAACATTATTTAGATATAACAATTATTTTACAAAGACTACTTTTAACATGAGCAGGCCACCCACAGTGTTGACTAGAGAAAATGGCATGCAAGCCACCCAGCGAGACTGATGTAATTTTTTTTCATCTTTGCTTAAAGTATAGTCACTAGACCAGATAATGTAGAAACTTCTACACGCAACGATCAAAAAGGCTAAAACAGTTCCACTTTTCTTTTTGGTTAATTAAAAATAAGTCACGAGTTGAAAAATGCAAATATTCGCATGCGATGTAAATCTTCCCTACTATAAATGAAATTCTGTTATTCTGTGTTAGGAAAATATCCTTATTACAAAATAGAATGCTTTTTAGTCTGGATAGGAAAGGTTTTAAGGCTATATTTAATGTATTTATTGAAGAATATTCACAGATAGTATAGAAACTTAATTGCATGAAATTGCTGACCAAGGCTTGATCCTGTATGCAATGAAGCCAGTAAGACTTTTAATGCAATGTGAAGACAATTTGTATTCGTTCTGTTGCAGTGACCAACTAGTTAGACTTTTTTCAGTCATGCCATTGTCTTTGACTTAATCATTGGTACTTTTAAGTGACTCAAATATCAAATATTGTTAATAATTTTTAAGACTTAATTTGAAAACACAAAAAGATTGTTTGCAAAACCCAGTGATACCTCTTAAAGCTATGACATTAATTACCATAATGAAATTATACTTTTCTAAAAAGAAAACTTTCTATGATTTTTTCTGTATCCTGGAGATGCATAATTTAGTTGTAAAATGTAGATCTGGAGCCAAAGCAAACTATAAAATATCTGCAGCAAAGTTAAGCATTTGAAATAGGAAAGAGTGATTGTTTTTAATTGCACAGGGCTTACCACATATTAAAATGCTAAGTGGTTCATTTCATCATCTGTAAAATGTTAACACAGTTAACAAAAAAGTACAAAAATTGAGCAATAATAACTCATTTGCTCTAAAAAAAACTTGCATGACTCATTAAAATGAGGAAAATCTGTATGTCATTTGAACTGATTACTTTACTTTTTCTTATTCCTACATCCTTTTTAAAATAGGAGCCAGTAACACAGCAGATACATTATTCCAAGAAGTGCTGGGTCGCAAGGACAAAGCTGATTCAACAAGAAACGCACTTAATGTTCTTCAGCGTTTTAAATTTCTTTTCAACCTCCCCTTGAATATTGAAAGAAATATCCAGAAGGTATAATCCTTTTAAAATTTTCTATTTGCTGAAATTAGTCTGTCACCTTTTTCTTGACAAATATAAATGTTTGGTTTTTGTTTGTGTGTGTTTGTATTTTTTAAGGGCGATTATGATGTGGTTATTAATGACTACGAAAAAGCCAAGTCACTCTTTGGAAAGACAGAGGTTCAAGTATTCAAAAAATGTAAGATATGGGCTCTGTTATTTGCTTCTTTTTTTTTTTTTTTAAACTTAGAGGCCAAAAAGCACATAGTAGTCTAAAGAGCTTTATGTGGGTTTTATATGGATTTTAGTCCATAAAAATTATGGATTTATAGGAACCAATTAAGCAATATTTCTGGCAAGTTTTCTGAGTGAGGTATATACTACAGTACGTGAAGTCACAGCCAATCTTATTTGTTTATTAAGGCTTGGTATTACTGGACATAAAAAAAAGATTACAGTAATTAAAATGTGACTTCGGGTATCTCTCACTGGCATATTGTTGGAAAGACTTCAAAGTCCAATTTTCTGTTTTTGTAGAACTGTCATATACAAAATTTTCAGATGTGGCTTGTTATAAAATGAGTTACATTGATTTCCACATTAACTCCAGAAGTCTCTGATGTCCTAGAAAAATAACGTAATTTTCAGTTCATACCACTGCTGAAGGCACACATTGGATTTATTTCCTCTCCCTACTCCTAGATTATGCTGAAGTTGAAACCAGAATTGAAGCTTTAAGAGAACTTCTGCTGGATAAGCTGCTTGAAACTCCGTCAACATTGCATGATCAGAAACGTTATATAAGGTAATCATTTGACTAGTGTCTTCATCAGACATATGGTGTTTACATGTGTATTTAAATCTGTTTCCTAAATAGGGTAGTGACTATTTTTCCTATGGTTTAAATACTAATTTTAAAGCTGTAAGTAGAGTATTTTGATATTTTATGATTATATAAATAACAGCAATGGATTGGTACTTGATTGTTTATTGAATGATTGAAAAACAGTTCTTGAATGAGAACAATTTAATGAAGGATAATTGGGATTGAATTTCATTTTTTAAAATCTTTAAGGCGTGTTTAGGTTCTGTTGCTTCCTCTAAACCATCATATTGCAAGCTATGTCTGAAATGATCACTCACAGGTTGCAGATTTCAAAATAGATTCCTTATTAACTTGTCTTACACTTCAGCTTGACTTGGTACTGAAATGGAATCATCCTAAGTCAGATAATAGGGAGGTTTTAATCCAGACTGTCATTTAAATTTGGTTTTGGCTCTTTTATTACTCAGTCTAAACAATGTAGTTCCTTTATATGTCATGAACATGAACCAGTTCCCCAGTTTTCATAGAAATGCCTAGGTTTTCTGTCATTCACAAAGCTGATGTCGAAGTCTGTTGTAGGCATACTGACATGAGCTGGTTGGACCTTCTTCTACTGGTAGACCTTAACCTGCTTTACAGTCCTCGGAGCCAAACTTTAGAGTGCTCTGGAACATTTGATGGCTTTAATTAGAAAGCTTTTGAGTTTTAGATGTTACTAGGGCTCCAAGTATGGCTTGACATTCTCAGTGCTTTTTCCAGTTATCTTAAAAGATGTAGACCAAATGCGCTGTGTGAGAAGCATTCTTAAAATTCTGATTCCTGCGTGAGGTCTTCAATGTTTTGTGTGCTCACCAGGCCCAGTCGCACAGGACAAAGTGTGGTATTGGTATCTTAGGTCCCTTTACGTTATGTTAGTGGATGAGGACAATAACCAGTGTACATTTATGTAGAGTGCTTCTCATTCTTCTGGATGCTATATAAATATTGCATATTTATTGGAATTGCGTTTTAAGGTGAGTAGTTAAGCGTTCTGTGTCTCTGAAGAAGGCACTACTGTTTCCTTTCTATGTCAGTCTTGAAAACCTTAAAGAACAGCTTCTTTATCTAAGCCAAGTCTTATGACCTCTTCTAAGGATTCTTTGGAAGAATCAGAGTTCTATGTGTGTTTGATTCTGGGGGTTTGGTTTTGGTTGTTGGTTTTTTGGGGGTTTGGTTTGGTTTTGTTTTTTAGTTTTTCTCTACCCCTTGCCTTGAAGCATTGAATCTTTAAAAATATCCTAGCCTACATTAAAGCAGACTGTGTTAATGTAACTACTAAATGTATTCCCCATATAGAACAGTATAATGAAGGAGAGCAGGGAGTGGACAAATGTGGAATAATTTAGTTCTAATGAATTAATAGAATCCCAGCATACAAAGCGATTAAATTAGTTTCACTACTCTAGATATGCTAATGTGGTTATAGTAGTGTAAATTTTCCGGAGGCAAGGTGTGAAGAAAGCTTTCTTCAGAGCACTTCAGCTAAGAGGAAACTAACAAAATCCTAACTGTAAAATTATTTGCATAAAACCTGCTATTTTTGAGGTTTTTTTCTTCCTTGATATGTTTGTTTTGTATGTCTCCAATGTCTAAGGCTGAGTGAGACCTGAAATACTGTGGTTTTCTCCCTCAGATACTCAATGTTTATCTTTATAATTAGGCTTCAATTCATATTTTGCTCTCATTTTATTATGGTATTTACACTGATAATTATTTTATACTGTTCAGAAACAGTTTACCATATCACTTAACAGCCAAGTAGATGTATTTTTTCCAAGACCAGTGCTATTTTTTTTTATTTTGTGTCTAAGCAAAGACTTACGTCCCCCTTAACACTGAGGAAGGACTTGAGCTCATAATTTATAAATGTCACCCTGTCAAAATGGTTGGTTGTATAATGTTCTCATCCATCCAGCCAATCCTACTTTGGTAGTTTATTTTTTGTTCAAGTACTGCAGACAGTTCTCAGAGAAGACAGAATTTTGCAACACAGTCCTAATTAACATTTAGGTATTATTGTAGTAATACAGCTTTTGTGAAGGAGTTAAACATCCCCTGCACTGCTTAAGATAATAAATCAGTGTATATCACCTTGAGTGTCTTGAATGTTTTAATCTGTCCTGAGTCTCATTAATGCAGAATGTAACGGAGCGCATTAAATAGTAGAGCAGCGACTGCTTTTTGAAAATACTCTTTTGAAAGTACTGTTGTTAGATAGTCTTGAATGCCATCCGTTAGACTATATTACTTCTGTGTTCTCTTCAAAATCACAACAGCTGGCTTCTAATACTCCTCTCTCCCTAAAGACAGAGGGTGTTTTGCTTCTGAGTATTAGAAGCCCCAATCCTTTTCATTATCTCTCCGCCCTGCCTTTTTTTTTTTTTTCTTCAGACTGTGTGTGCACATCCTAATGCAAAAAAACCTCCAAAAAAATCCAAACAAAAACAAACCAGGAGCTTGGTTTACATTTGTTTGTGCATGCGTGTGCTAAAATTAATGAGCCGCCAAAAATTAATTCCTTCCGTACTTACTTGTTAAGGTTACATGATGATACAATCAGGACATAGAAAGTGGGAAGAAAAATACCATATTTTATGTGCTTGAGATGTCATCACTGATTCCAAGTGAAACATGAAGTACTGAACTGCAACCTTGGCAGATAAAGAGCTTGGTTTCCCAAGTACTTTACTAGAGGCACAACTGAAAATACATATTAATCTGATATTAAATATATATGGTTTTGTTTATTTTTACAAGGTTTTGGATGGCATTTTGCTTCACTAAATGAGGAAGGAAGAAAGAATGCAAAGCTTGTGTTTGCATTGGGTATAAGTGTATCTTAACAACTATTCTTGAATTTTTAAAATTATGTAAAAAAAAAAATTTTCTTAGTACATCTTTGGTCTGTTTTAATGAGGCCTTCAGTGTGTCAAGTCAGAGCTGTAATTTTTGGACTGGGTTTTACAGATATCTTTCTGATCTTCATGCGCCTGGGGACCCTGCTTGGCAGTGCATTGGTGCTCAACATCAGTGGATTCTGCAGCTCATGCACAACTGTAAGGAGAGCTATGTGAAAGAACAAAAAGGCAAGGATATATTTTTGTTTTATATGTATATACATATATATTTGACATTTAGGAATTTGGCATTGCCTTTTATTTGACAAGTTTTAGTGTACAAATGATATTGGGGGGGGTGTTCCCATCAATTTTGATAGCTTTTTACAAAGTTGAATACTGACTTGTATTTTTTCCTTTATTCTATTATAAAAACAAAACAGCAGTTGGAGTTTTCTTTTTGTTTAACTTAAAACTTTTCAGCTCTTTACATGGGAAAAGCATTACATTTCAATCATTTATCTGAAGTTTACTGTCCTCTCGAAATAATTCTTTGAGGTCACACCAAGTTTGGATTGTTGTCTGAATCTGCCAGTTAGATTTCTTTGTCACAAGATATGCCATTAGTATATGGATATGCAGGGCACTGGGGCATAGAGGAATAACGTGTAATTTCTTGATATGCAGTGAATGATAATACGATGTTCCTTTGTTCTTTGTTCATGTGCAGTTTCAAAATTCATGTTCAGGCACAGACCTGTGAGTTGGACAAATGGGATATTTAGACAATGTTATATTAAGACCAGTATGAATACTTAGTTGTGTTCTGTCTTTGTCAGTGTTGCTCCTCAAAGAAATGTATAGGTATTGCAACTTAGCTACCAGTTAACATGATGCCTCACATTAGTGTGTTTTCAAAAGGGAATAGGTGGGAGGCTATTGGCCTGGCATTTCTAGTAGTAAAATCTGAAAACTGGATTTTCAAATTAGAAAATTACAAGTAGCGCCTTGATTTTCAAGAAGTCTTATAGAGTTTGCTGCTATTTCTGAAATGAGTAGGCATATTGGAATCTGGCCTCTCTTGGCTTATAGGTAACTCCCATGTTTAGTGTTAGTCTGTGTGTATCCCAAACCAAATAAGGTGTTCTATTCTGAGAAACCACAGAAATTTTACTGAGTTGGAGCTGCTGCAGAAGTGTGCTGTAAAATTGCTGCAGGAGGCTTAAACTGTCTTTAGCAGAGGTTACGACATCAGGTATAGAGTCCACAGGGTGCATCGCATATGATGTCGGTAAGGTTTAGCTTAAAGCATGTACAGACCATCTTTGTTCCACAGCACGGTGTGAAGTGCTGTAGGACCAGCTGGAACACCAGGTTGGTATCTTGGCCTCTTGGTCAAAATTCAGAACAATTCCAAAACCTCCTCATCTTCCCTCCTCGTCAAAACCCTGAGACACCACCACCACCCCCGCAAAATACAGCTATCGGGAGCAAAACTCACTTGTAAAAATGGCCATGGTTAACAATTCTAAGCTTTCTTTTTCTCCTCTCACTTGCAAAATGTTACATAGCCGTCTCTGAGCTTCTTCGCAAGAAAAATAGGGGCATGAAGATACTAAGTACTCAAGACTTTTGTTTTAGTAGTCTATATAATTTTGATATGCAGGCTCCAGTAAATGAATGGAAAATGTGTCTAAATTCCTAGGCTTGTCTTGAAAATCTCAACCTGTTTGGTGTTTTTCTTGCAACAAATCTGCTTACCTCAGCCTTAATATCAAAGGGGTTATTATGTTAGCAGCTTTGTTTGGCTCACAGAAGAGGGAATTTAAACAACTTGAATGCCCAGTAAATGCATGTATGAATAGTTAATATTTAGTGCATGCATGAAACAAATGCTAATATATTATCGCTTTTATTAAAGAGCTCATCAAATTTCAAAAGTTTTCTTCCAGCCATTTATGTGTTCCTTACTGATGTAGTTTTTGTACAGATTGTAAAATACTCAAGAATTGATCCGAGTTGGTGGAATTTCTCACTTAGTATCTAGTAGGACAAAGGAAGGTTGCTAAATGTGATTTTTCCTTTCCATAGATCTTTAATTTTGGCATACACCAGACAGGAGAAGGAAAAAAGAAAACTCAGAAGAATTGGTTTTAACTGCCAAGTAGAACAATGCTGATTGTGATCAGAGACATGGAATGTGTTTTAATCTGCTTTAATAGATGTATGCTTTTCAAACAGGAAAAGTGTGGGGTTTTATTCATAGATACCAAATTGGTTATGCAAGACTTTGAGGAATCTAATCAACTTAAACAAATTAGAAATGTGGTTTATATGCTCATAAATTCACAGGCTATTTTTAAGAGAAAATAGTAATAAATTTTCAAACATTAAAGTCCTCCACTTAAAACATGCTTCCAAGAAAGATCATTTTGTATATCAAGTATTTGGAGGAAGAGGTGGGTCATAAGGCTGATATTCAAATGAAAAGGCCATTAAAACTTTTTCTAGGTTTCCCTTTTCAACAGGGATAATAGACATTGAAGACTACCATCTGCTAGAAACATATTGCATACGCTGGAATAAGCAGACAGCGATTACAGTTCCACCTTGAACATACCAACAATTTCTGGCTATTCTTAGCTTAGTTCTTCTGCTGACTGTGAATCTGTGGGTTCAACCTGCCTAAGTCAAAACTTTTCAGCATAGTAAACTTAAACCTCAGGAGTAGATTGTATCTATTTTTGCATTTGTGCACAATTTTTCAACTTTCAACTGAGTTTGTGCCAAAGCATTTTGCTGCTATTTTATTAGTTTTCAAAGCAGAGCTGTGCCCTGAGTTGTTACACATGAATTTTACTACCTGAAATTGATTTGCAATTAGACGAAAGCCTTTGCTTTTCTTACCTGGAAAAGTCTTTTTTTGAAAACTCTGTTAGACATTCTGGACAGGACTTTTGTAGCTGATTGTCAGACAGTAAATATTCCCAAAGCATTTATTTGCTGGCCATGATGTGTTCAGGAAGGGAAAGTTAACATTGGAATTATTTGCTAAACAAGCTAAAAACCAAACCTAAGTGAATTCTAAGGAGAACTTACTCCAAATTCAGTCACTGATGTAGCAAGCCAACAGTGTACTCTGTGGGACAAAATTATTCCAGTTGTCTCCATACTACTAGAAGGTTGACCCTTTAGTCGTTACAACTTAAATAATTTCATTTTCTTATCTAGAAATAGCATCTTCTCCTATCTTCTTTAAGAGATTTAGTGATGTATCATCTCATCCAGGCCACTAGTAATGGCAGTCAGGACAAATTCCCAATACTGACAAAGAGGTAAATCTACTTTTCTACATCCTCTGTAGGTTCTTTATCTTTGTCTGATGATTGCCCTCCTGTTAATAACTGTGCTTTCAAGGCTCTCCTAAGCATAGTTGAAGAATGGAGTGAGCTAATATACATGCTGAGGTAGTTGAAGGTGCTGTCAGAAAATTGTGTATTAGAGATGTATTTAAACACATGTTTATTTTGGTTTTATATCTAAGTATATATTTTTGATCTAAGTGTGAATCCTTCACTCTCAGTAGTACTATCACATGAAAAGTTTTTAAAAAAAAAAAAAGCCCCTGTGCTTGGATATTACTAGAGATTAACTCCATTTTGTAGAAATACTCTGCAGTTGTAAGCATGTCCTAGAACTGTAAAGTATCATAGCATAGTACAATTTCTGATGCAGCCTGAAAGAAGAAACTGTGGCAAGTTTACAGGGCTGTAATGGTCTTCGAGTTCTCTCCAGGAATTTGTTTCAGGGATTAGCAGAAGTCCTATGTGTTTCAAATACTGTCTGTTTTCAGTTAATCCAACTTTCCAAAAACTGAAAGGTATATCAAGCTGTGCTAAGCTTTGTCAGAAAACTTGGTGGTGTGGCTTAAAGGCTGACAACTACCAAAAGCAAATTATTCAATTGGATGTTTCCATTGATGTTAATAGATAATTATTAATTGTAAAAGATGCGGTAATCTGATCATTAGCTAATTGGTTGCAATTATTTCAACAGGTACAAGTAGGATGGGGATGGGCAATTTTCTCAAGTCCTGTGTATGAAGTACTTTACAGCAGCATTTTGGAGTCTATTTCCCCTGAGGACTATTAACGTACTGTTTCTCCTCAGTCTAAACAACCCTGTTGTTTTGCTGATTAGTCTTGAATTATGTAGATTAATGTTTCATTACACGCTCAGATATGGCTGTTGTTACTCACCCATCGTTGCCTTTAGCCTATCTATCTCTTGCTCTGCATAGCCATAGCAGACCTTCCTCATTTGTGAGGTAAAAAAAATGGAGGCAGATGATGTTCATATGATGAGAAACTGTTGGAATCCAAGCCCACATGTTTTAAGGAGTGAGTGAATATGCATATGTGACAGCAGATCAAAATTTCTCCTTCTCTGAAGTACTGAAGTATGAGCAGCCAGGACAGAGACCAAACAGCATAGCCAAAGTCATAGTGGAAGCACGAGGCAGTACAGGGGATGCCCAAATCATAAAGCTCCCGTGCTCGTTTCCTTACATTAAGCCATTCTTCTGCTTCTCTGATGGTCAAGTTCTTCCATTAAAGGTGCAGCTGTAGATACGGGACCCACGTGCAACTGGCTGGAGCTCTAGCTCTGCTGACGTAGTAATGCTTGGAAATATATGGACTTACTAACTTTTTATGTTTTCTATTTAATGTTTATCTGCCTCACTAATGGAATAGGCAGTTGTGCTCTTTTATTGCTTTTGAAACCTTTTTTTTTATGGTTATTAAGTTATTTCCTGAAGCATTGATGGATTCCTTTTATAAATCTGATCGCATCCCACTATTGCTGCCCACTGGAAGGACCTGAAGGTAGGTAAAGCTAGTTTGCTTGCTGTTACTTAGTATGTAGATACGTTAGAGAGAGGGAGATGCATGAGACTGAATAGACAGAAAAAAGAGCATTTTTGAACGCTATGAATATAAAGCTTAACATGGAAGAACACTATGCTCACTCAAAACAGTATTTCTTAAATCTCTAGCAACAGATAGTGGAATGATAAACTGAATTGTGCTGGTATTTTATACCTTGTATTGGCTAAAGTCTGAATTGCTGCTTCTGAACTTTGAACTTCTGATTTGTAGAAGTCTGGGGACTTGCAAACCTGGGACCTGGATAGTAAATGGTTTCCTTCAATTGAGATTTTACATATTTGTAATTTTTAACATTACTTG